TTTTATGATAATCAAAAATATATATGTATTGATTAGTTTGGTAATGGAAAATATCTTTGTCAGCTTGGCAAGCAACCGGGACCTTTTTAAATTTTGTTATTTTTTTAAATTATATAATTGTTCTACACATCGTACATAGGTAGCAAGTATTTCGAAGTAGGGCCATGTGGCTATAGATTTTCCATTTGTTATATTTCATTAAAAAATTGAGTGCGTTCTTAAACAGCAAGTATATTTGTATTGCAAGTATGTATATTAATGGAAAATATTATAAGCCGTTTTTGTAAGTAATACATACTTGTACAAGTATTTCCAGGTTAAATATTTCCCAACGTTCGTTTTCAATTTCTCTAAAATATATATCGAATGTTTATCAATCAGGTTTCTTTATAAATGAAGTATAAGTCTTAGCACTTAACTATATATTCTTGATCAGCTGGATAGGAAGAATTTTCGGGAGCAGGTCTTCTTGAGCTCGATGGCTCTTATTTCTGATTAAGATATCGTGACTATTGTACTCGATTATATTGTTATCCAAATATTTTGTTGAATCTTTCAACCATCTAAGCGTCTTCTGTGCAGAACTACACTTCCCTTCACTTATTATGCAATTTTTTCTGAGGTATGTACGTTGAAATCATCTCAAAATTAGAGGCTGTTTCCCTGAACATTGATTGGGTATTTTATAACACAAATGTATGTACGGTGATTACGAACGAAACGGCATAGGCGGTGCATTTGCGGGTTGTGCGACCTGCGGAAACGTGGTCTCAATTTCTGTTTTGCTTTCAGTGTATTTTTTTCTTTTTGTGTTTGGCCAGTTACCGATAAGTATACCATGTATTTTTCAATAAAAACGGATTTATTATGCTCATCAAAACGACTTTGAAAACTATTATGGCAGTTTCGTTTCTGCAGGACTCTTTGGGCCAAATGGGCCCATTTGATGGCTCTTATACGTAACAGCTATCCGGGGCTTTGCGAAATTACATGCTTATAACGATCACAGCCCTTTTTGACGGTGCTGTTGCTTGTTTAGTTACGATTACGAGTACGTTTGATACTTTTTGAGTAGTTGCCAAGTTTTGAAGATGCAGCAGCTGTTTAAATCCGGCCTAATTTTAAGAGCGCCTATAAGCGTGCGGCCCATATTTAAATTTACACATATACTACATGTGTGTGCGTGTGCTCGGTCACATATGAATAATGTTGGAAGGCTTGCAGACACATACTTCTATACATCCAAACCGCTCATTGCGGTCATTGGCTTTGGGTGAAACATTGGACAATCAATAAACCACATTGCAGGGCCAGCCTCAGGCCCTTCTTCTAGGTCCCAGAACCTGCTATTGTTTCATATACGGTATAAGTGGAGGCCACGAATGTTGGTTCTGGTATTGTGTTGCCGCTGCTGGTCAGCCAGAAACGCACTGAAGCGGCAAATGCGCAATTATTGCTGACTTACCTTAGAGGGGCACATGTGGCGTATACGGAATATTGCAGCCCTTATGTCTGTGCTTGCGATTAGCCCGTTCAACTAATGGAAAATTCTACGCCGACAATACACAATGGCGCTTTAAAAAATGAATAGAAAAGAATCACATGTATATGCATTATTACCGCATTGTAGCCACGCAGGCTTGTCTTTGTTGCCTGCAATAAGATTTGCGTCGCTTTCCGATGGATTCCCTCTCCCAGTAACTCACTCATTCAGTAGCACAGTCGTTCAAGTGGTAATTAAAATTATACCAACAGTGGGGCTGCCTTGTTGAGAGCGTGGAGAGCTCTGCGACTGCGGGAACAAAGATAACACCGGCTGCGCTGACACAGAAAGAAAACGGAAGCGGCTTGGCCAAGAGCCTCGTTCAACGGTCTGTGTGTGCGTGTGTGTGAGTGGGGTCTAGGGGTTTAGTCTTTGAGTGCGTTACCAACAAGTAGGGCTGTCGGCTGACAGCAGCTGTACTTGTTTTTGTGCGTTTTTGCGCTTTGGCAACTTGAAATATTTATGAGTAGCTGGGAACCTAGTCGACCTAATGACGCGACTAGTGTGGCCGCGAAAAAGAAACCACAAAATACAGCAAGCAATGGCAAGACACAGAATACTTAAAAATGCTCCATACACAATGGAAACCTGTTTTATTTCCCGTTATTCGCCTTTCAGCAAACCTCTATTACTTTCTCACTTTTTTTACCTTTTGCGTCATACAGATTTGACCGTTGACACCCACCCTTCCCCCCCCACCCCCCTGCCTTCGCCCTTGACTATAGGTATAGTTAGATAGGATTAGCCAGACAAGTATGGATATCTGTAGATCAATTGAATTAAGTTAGAAAGTAATAGCTATTTAGGATTATGGGAATGTTGCTACAACAATATGCTGTGTTTATGAAAACATTATAAGTATGGGAGACAGTTTCCTCCTTCTCTTCTCTAGAAACGTCCCATCTTTGACATAAAACACAAGGGACAGTCAAAAAAGCACGTCTTCTTTATTCTCTCACTCGAGTCAGACCGCAAATTAAGAGCGAATTACTCAAGCGATCAGTGTACAGCTGCCAGGGCTGCCAGACCTGCTGCGTACGTTATTATGCTACTATAGTACAACTCAAGAAAAGTTTCTACATCTCTGAGACATTAAACTTGCAAAGAGGTGTCAACATGCATTTAAACTATGTACTCACATATTACAACTGTTGGCCACACTTGCCACATATTCGAAAACTTCACAACCTCACACCTCAGTCCATGCATGTTGCCCCTCACACCGCTTAGTACATCATTAAAAATGCAGGACTCATAAGTTTCCCAGAGAAATCTCAAGTGCTAGTAATTTTGTGTAAAAACTTTTAAGTTACAAGCCATGCGAAAAGGAAAACTAGTTTACACTTTTACCCTTTGGTAAAAAAAAAAAATAAAAATTTGACTGAAAATACGAGCTTTATGCATATGTTGGTGGGCAAGTAAATGATTGTTTAATGTGCTCTACTGGTTGTACGCAGGTACATACATATGTACAAGTATGTATGTATATTCTATATTAAGAAGGACGATGAATGCCGACAGCACCTACATACCTGCAAATATTTATGAGTGGTGGTTTTTAATGCAAACACGTTCCCAAGTCGTTGTTGTTGATTTAAATAAATTTTTCAGTGTTTTCTGTTTTTCTGTTTCCTTTGAATATTTCGAGGAGTCCTTTATTTTCAGCTTCAGCGTTCGCGCCAGAATGCAAATTTAATGGTTTACTAATTATTTTTTAGTTTGTTTGTTTTGTCCAAGCTGCTACGCAGTTAGTTGAAGAATTGTTGCTGTATCCCTTCGTTTTTGTTTTTATTTTAGACCTATGTAAGTACAACAGCACTCACCACAAGGATGCTAAGCACAGTAAAGTCCTTCGATTCTGAAATTGTTGCTTTCCGTAGCACTAAGGGGCAGAAAAATATGTTGGTAAGATTTTCCTTATACACTTGGAATTTGCACGGCGCTCAGCATATTTTGTTGTATTGTATTTAGTATTTGGTCTTTTTAAATACAAGATTAAGAAGTTTTCAATGCAGCATACAAATTAACTTTCACAACACAGACTTCCCTTTCGGTATTTTGCGTCGCTATTTCGCCGAGCTTACGACGTGGACTGAACAAATGTCCCTTTTATACACACTTGTTCGCTTTAATTGTGCGCCGTCCAGCTCATTTCACTGAAAGAGCGGAGCAAAGCTTTCAGTTACAACGCAATTGGTTGACTACTCTCAGCAAGGCTTGTGTTATTGTTTAGACTGGCGCCAATAAAAAGCTTTCTTTATGTATTTGGCACAGGGTGACACAAGTATTTAAAACTGATGGTACATACTTTCAAATATGAAGAAAACACAAAGAACACTCTAAAATGCAATTTTTGAATTTAAACTCTTGGAAACTCTTCTTGACAATTGTAATTTTTGTTCGTGCTGTTTCGTAATGTAAATGGCATTTCCTTCCTCCTGCATATGTACATAATTTGAACAAGCGTTTTGATCCCTTTATACCCTTCCGGTACTCTTGAGCTCAGTAATGGGTATATGGGGTCGTTTCAGTGTACTATTCAGCTATAAGAGGTCTGCTACTCCTTTTTCATTTAATCTTCTAAGCAGTTTCTTCCAGGTGTCACAAACCTTTGGGACGATTCACTTTACTTTTTCAATTGTACACCAAGTTTTGAAATGTGTTTCCACGCCACTTTCTACAATTGTCTTCGACTATTCCAACATTGGTAATTGGTCTTGCGTGCTTCCTTACTTATGAATAGAGTGTGTAATATTGGTTCAATAATTATTAATTTATTTAAGCAAGTGATCAATTTTGTTAGCTCTTGGTTATGCTAAATACTCAGTTTGGTTTACCAATATTCGAGAACAATAATGTAGTGGTACAAATTGAGTTACTGTGGCACATTTATGCTATCCTGAACCATGCTGTACGATAGCTTTAAAGCTCAGCATAAGCGAATACTTGCCTTCGTTTATGAGATGTTTGCAATCCTCTCGAATCAACTCATGGGCCCTTATTATGGGACCTTAGGTAAGACATGAAAACAAAACAACTCGGTTGAGTGTCGTCTCGTCAGCTGTAGCGATACGAAAGAAGCGAAAATTTTACGAGCAACCGAAGCCACATCTCCATGGGAAGCAAATTTCAAATGGCGGTCGAGTCAGCTGGGAAAAATACTATAAAAGCACGTAGTGTTAACAGGCGGCGAACCGATAGGGGGTGCGTCGACGAATTAAAATTTGCCGGCGCATTGCAAGTATGTGTGTATGTATGTGCGTGTGCATGTAAGGTTGGGTGGTTAGATTTTTTCTTTAAAATTTACGTTGGCAGAAGCAATCCCATTTTGCATGTTAAGGCTTCTGCATGATTTCCTATGTGCCGTGGTCCTCCTGCCGCGCGACTGCAAAAATGCCCCAAAGACTTAACAGTTGCTATGTATGCACAATTTGAATGAATATAATTTTCGCACGGCTTAGATATTGAAAAATTTATTACATTTAACTTTGTTCAAAAATGTATTTTTTCATGCTTATACGCATATCTTGCAATCGAATTAAACGTGCAATTCTAAGGGCTTACTCTAATGGCTTACTTTAGTAAAATATACAAGTATATTAGCGCAGGTCGTTGGTCCATTCGTGCCATAAGCTTAGTGTTAACTTAATATATGTGTGTACTATATGTATGCATCTACTACATGTAGGCACATTGTGTGCATATTTTACGATATGTTGACATAACTTGGTCGGTTGAAAACACTTTACAACAAGAACATTAACCTAACAGTAAAGTTGATAGAGAAAAATGACAGCTACAATAATGTTGAAAAAAGGCGAAATTCCAGAAGAGTCGGAGGCGCTGGCTCGCTTGTAACTAGTTTATACTCATTGAAGTAATATTGAAAATGTTCACTTAAAAGTAAATGCTTGAAAAAATAACATTATGCACGGCAGGCCGGCCATACGAACTGGATAGCATTTTATCCAGATGAACACAAATCCTGTTATACTTTAAAATGTCGACAAATTTTTCGTCTAGAAATATTCTGGTGCAGGTATCCCGAAAATAGTTCTTAAACTGAAATCCAAATGTACATAATGGTCCCCGGCTCCCCGTTTTGCTCCTAGCAGTTCATGTAGTTAGACGGTCCATGGTCCACTTGCTCTGTTTGTTTGCTCTGTTCCTGATCCGCGGCACCAGTTACGTTTTGGTAGACCTCCGCCTGCACTTCGATGCTACTTACTTGGGGACAGGCCACCTGCTTGGGCTTGAAGGAGCTGCACGTGGGTGTGCTCTTGCTCAGCTTACCGTAAATGATGTTGTTGCGCTCGTTCACCTTGATGGGCTGGAGCGTAACGCCATTTTGATAGTTGGGAGAACACTTGGCCTGCTGCACGTCATGCTCCTTGACCTCCTGTATGGTGTTCAGATTACTGCTCTGGGATGTCGCTAGGGGCTGGCTGCCGTAGACAGGTATGTTCGAGGGAAACATTTGATAATGATCCGATGCGGTAGGGCTGGTTGGTGTATGCAGTCGCTGGCAGTTGCTGCCCGCCATAGGCGAGGGGAACACAATCTGATGGCGTTCATCGCCGGGTGTAGAGTTGGGAGTAAAAACAGGCCGTGGGGTAGGTGGCACCATATAATCCATTAGTGAGCCAGGTATGCCCAGACGGCAATTGTAGCGACGATCCTCGTGGTCCGAGTGCGTGCCAGAGTCGCCAAGAGAGGCGCCGCTGCAGTTGCTTCCTGTGCTGAGGCGACCCGACGACGATGATGACGAGGAGACGCTCTGCAAACTTAGTGAACTAATGGGGCGTGCTGACGAGGACTTGAAGCTGGAGTTTGTGGTTATGGAGCTTTTAGTTTCATCTAGCATGCTATCCCCACAGCAGCTGTGCTTGTCTGCGGCTGCCTTGTGACGCGAGAAGAGCTTCTTAAAACGCTCGAAAGGAGTTTCGCGCTTTAGTTGCGACTTAACTTGCTCCTGAATACGCTCGTACTCGCGGCGCAGCTGATCGATTTGATCCTGCTTTTCGCGAAAACTTTGTTGCACATCATTGCGATGCTTCCACTTTTCTACCAACAGCTCCACATCGCGAATGGAGAGCACACTGTTCTTGAAGTCGTACATTATCTCGGCTAGTTCATCATCAGCGTTAGCTCGTGTGCTGGTGGAGGCGTCGGAGGCGCTGCGTTTTAGCGTTCCATAGCTGGGCTGTAGACGAGTTGTGGAGCGATGTGCCTGCGGCAGCATTGCTTCCTCTACTGGTCGATTGGAGGGCTGGAATAGATAGTTTCCATCATCTGGGATGCAGGTGTTGTTCACCACGGTAACAGGTATGTTTGAGGGTTGGAGCACATAGTCGTTGCCAGTTGATGGAGCAGGCGTGCAGCTCTCTAAGAGCTGTGAACATTCCTGACTGAATTTGTCGGTCTGATAAAGCGGAGGCGCATCGACTACATCGATGGATTTATTTTGCTCCTTGGACTGATAATACGGTGGTTCGTTGATGTACAACTCGTTAGTAGTTTGCTCAGGGCCAAGTGTAGGCTCGGGCAGCACCTTGTTTGTGTCGAAGTTTTTGCAGACATCGGCTGATGAGCCCTGCAGATTCTCATCTTCTGTTTCCACGCTTATATAATTCAGGTTGGAAATGGCCAATGTTTCGCTCTTGTTGCGGAGCACTTCCGGCGTGTTCTCGCGCTCCGAGCCGCTGGACATTTCCATGTACTCCGCTGAGGGCAGTTCCTTGGGTGGTTTGCCAGTGCCTTTGCCCTTGGAGGGTGATCTGGGTGTGACCTTTGACGCTACCGGCTCCAGGAGCACCTTGCCTGAGGTCGAATGAGACTTGGGCTGAGTTCCTACAGAGCTCTCGCTCGAATTGGCATTGCTGGTGCCCTTGTAGAAATGATATATGGTGGTGAACTCGTGCATTGCGGAGAAGCCATCAATGCTCTTGGCGAGCTTGTGGTGACCCTCCTGCTCTGCGAGCTCGGCAGGTGTGCGACCTGTGCAGTTTCGCACCCCGCAGGCTGTGTCTCCACCTGGACATTCCATAAGCTGGATACACAGGCGATTGAGGCCCCAGCGAGCAGCAAAGTGCAAGAGCGTTGGATACTCCTCTGGACTGGATTCGAGGCGTGTAAAGAAGTGTGGCTGCTTCTCGTACGGACCGTTCAGTAGGTGGAAATTAGGTGGCATATTGCGCTGGAAGCACTGCAGTAAATGTAGGTCCAGATCATCGCGCTCCGCTGGTCCAAGTCCCAGGGCTTGGCACATAAATTCAATTGGAGAGTCCTCAATGCGCAGCAACTGCTCCAGCTCTCTCATGCGACTCTCGCATTTAATGGGACGTGCACCCAGACTCTTGTTATTCTTCTCAATACGTATTTCAATCATGGTCGATACCTCCATGCAGGATTCTGTAAAATAATAATAATTGTTGTTGTGAAATTGTTGTGAAATTGTTAAATTCCGGCTGGGATTGGGATTCCAGTTAGATTCGACTATATAAATAAACGATGACTTGGTACCCACCTGGTATGGAGAATTGCAGAGTGAAGGGATTGCGGCATTTGAAGTTTCGTATTTCGAGTAGTTCGCCCGACTTTTCCACCAGTAACTTGAGTGTATCATCCTTCTCGAGTGGTTCAGCCAGCATGGCCACAACCTTGTTTTGGCCCACCTTCACTTTCTTTGGTAGAACTGTGAACCCCTCGTTACAGCTGGAGAAGCTTCGGGACATACTTGTGTTGTTGTCGTGGCACGGAGGTCGCTGGCAGAGCGCTCGCCCCAAAATGTCCGTCGCAATTCCCAGAATGTTGCTGATCTGCGCCTGATCATTGTCACGGACCGCACAGCGGCGCCACTTGTGGTAACTGGGCAGCGCCGTCTTATGGATCTCGCGGACCTTCTCCTCGCTAACGTCCAACAGTATGGCAAGCACCTTGTCCACTCGTATGATTGCCTTCAATTGGGCCATTAAAAATGAGTGTGATAGTGCCATTAGAGCTGGGCAGAGTATAACGATCTGCAGAGCTGTGTTTTGATATTTTTGGGTAATCTCCTCGCTGAAGGGACCATCTTCAATTTTGATGTGCAGAAAACTGCAAAAGGAGGATGCAAAGCAAAACGATGAAATATTGTGAACTGTGGACTTTAAATAAAGAACAACCATCAAATGCGATCCAATGTTGGATCCACAAGCATTTGCAATACATATGCAGATTCGTAACTCACTTGAATGGTTTCCGTCCGCGTTGTTTGGTGATCTTGTCAAAGTGATTCTTCAGAAAGTTGGCGCGCAAGAGGGCCCGCTCACTATGCTTGGCTGTGATTATTAGAATGTCGTCCATGTTGTAGCCCAGGCCGAGGCTGGTGGCGCTTTCACTGCTCGCGGTGCCACAGTTGTCTGTAAAATGAATTCAATATAGGCGATGAGTGAAAGTATTCCTGGCCGAGCACCAATAGATAAAATGAAAGATACCAGCAGTTTGTGTGTGAGCCTCATGTGCATTTGATAAGTAGTGTGTTTACTTAGGATTCGAGTTTGGCAATTTATTGCCTCCTCTGCATTCCTGAGTCTCAACTAATAATTCTCAGTGCACTTTTGTTTGCATTTCGACTCAAACAGCGCCGACGCAACTCACGTGTGATAATTTTGAGTACTAAGGACTGGTATGTAAACAGCAGGTCAATGGGAAATTGTGCCACCTATTTGTCCAGCCACTTATCGGTAAGTACTCTTATCGACTGCCCACAAAAGTCTTCCTGGAGCTCCCAGGTAAGAAATAATTACAGAAGAGCACACATACCGGTTAAATATGTATTGGATTTGTCAGCCAGTATTCTCTCGAAAGTTACTGATTATGGAAATGAATCTATCAGCTTATGTGCAAGCTGTCCGATTCGCTGCTTCCAATACCGATTGACTTAAATTGCTTGAACTTACTCTGCCACTCCAAAACACTTCGCTGAAGCTATAATTCGGCTCTTAAAACACATTTTAATTTGATGGACATAAGTATAAGCACTTGCCTAAGCTTCTAGATGATATTGTAGCATACCACAAAAGTGATGGATAATTTTATCACAGCTCTAAATTCTAAGAGAAGGCAAACAACATAATTTTCGTATTAACATAAAAACAGACTGATGTGTTGTGAGGCATTAAGCAATCCGTTGTGACAAATGAATTGCCGAGATTGTTTGGATTGTCGCGACTGTGAAAGCCCCCAGGAGTCTGTCTGGCTAATCAACTAGGCAGAAGCGCCTGGGCCGGCCATAAATTTCGTCACGTTTAGCGCATTTAAATAAATCTCAATCAAACTTCCTATATACATAAGTATTCAGTATGTATGTATGTATAAATGTACTTTGAATCTTTGCGCTCGAGGCGGGACCGCGATGTTATCTCTTGGCCAAACAAAAATTTACTGTTGCGCTTGGCGCGCGTTGCTGAACTTCTTGACACCCACAAATGGCGACGGTGGCAGCAATGATGGCGTAGGAGCTGCAGCTCGTCTGTGTTCCTGCCTGTCTGCCTGTCTGTCTGCCCACTGTCTCCCTGTCCAGCCGTCAGTCTCGTCAGCCGACGAGGCAACAAAATGCGGCGCTGTCTTCTCCTGTTGCAGCTGCTGCTCATTATAAGCCTGCTGCGGCTCCTCTCGCTGATGGTGTTCTTTATTTTGTTATTATTATTATAAATAAAGGCAGGGCGGAGTAAGTAGCGACTGTCACTGCCACTGAAATAGCGACAAATCGTGCAAGAACGAGAACTTCAACGTTGCCAGCCTTCGGGTCTCTTCTTTCATTCGCAGTCAAGTTCTGCTTCCTGCCCATTCGGTACCACAGCCTTTAAAAGTCTGTCCATTCGCATGCCCGGTTGTACATACAGTATTTGTATTCCATTTAAGTTGATACATTTCTAAGGAGGTTTGTTGAACGAGTATTTCTAATCAACTCGAAAATTTCGGTGCTCCATTTATATTCATTCGGTTCAGCTTGTGCCGAAAAACTTTCTGCATTTAGTGATTAATGACTGAGGCCAAAGTTTTGACTCTGGCTTTTAATAGCGTACAGTACTGTATAGTACGAGTATGTCTTTGTATGGCGTTTTGAACTTTTGAATGTTGTGGCCTGCAATTTATAACTCAATTACATGGCCAGGCGACAATTGCCAAACTGTGCAAAGCTCTGCTCCTCAGCAGGACGAGGTGACGGCTGAGGCTGGCATTGACAGCACTCGTCGCACTCAGCCTCTCCGTCTCTCCGTCTATCTGTCTATAACGAGGCAGCCTAATGTACGCAATTTTTCATCTGGCTGTAGCTGCAAATGCATTGAAATCGAAGTGAAACGTTTCCGAGGCCAAACATCTGTTAATTGTTAAGCAGCGAGGCCGACGACGCGTCCTCAAGAAAAATGGGACCCTTTGTTTGAGATAATTTTGCATTTAACTGCGCTGTTGCCATTTCTGTTTTTGTTTCACTGATTATTGTAAGTATGTATGTAGCATTTCTTACTTGATTTTTATACTGGAAGGCATGCGTGCTTCGTTTCGCTGCTGCGGCGACAATTTGCAAAAATGTACACAATTTCGCCTTTTGCGACTTGTCTTGATCGATGTGTTTTTAATGGTTTTTGGCTGCATTTCTTAATCATTTCTACACTCACTCATGTCCACAAGCTCGTAACACTCCTCCTCCCCCTCCGTCTCGTTCCCGAGCATGCAATTTGGAAAGAGCGCACAGCTTTTTCTGCTGCGCTTGCCAGCCATTTTTGTTCAATTTTCCAAATCACATTTAGCAAAATTTTAATTGCGTTCCGCGGAACTTGTCCAGTCCGAGCGCGATCGTCCAGCGATGATGCCAATTGTCATCTCAGCATTGCAGCTGTAACTAAGCGCGACCGAGGCTGGCGGCGCTTGTGCCCGTGGCTGGTCTAGTCCATTAGTGCTTTTAATTAATTGATTAAAATAAACGCTGCATACTTGTGTCCACGCGAAATTAGTTAGGCGGGCTCGCACACTTAGAATTGGCATTGTAGTGGTTTGTTTGGAGCCTCATTGAGAGTTCGTTCGTAAGGCAAATTTTTGCATTCAAAGATATCCGCAATATACTCGTAGCTCTTAAAAATCATATCAATACTCGTATTCGGTGCACATACATACAAGTACTATATATCGCTATTGAAAATTGATTTGAAATCTTTTCTTTCATAAAATCGAAAAAAAGCGCGTTACATTTGAAGCATCTTCCAGCAAAAGCGTTTTATATTCTAGAAAGGTAGATTTTAAGATAACCTGCGGAATCCAATCTAGAATAACTTCAGCCGGTAGTTAACTCCAAAATTTGTAATAATATGAAAAATATTTCGAATAAATAAGGCCTACATATTGCAACTGCTATGAAGAACAGCACGTTCTAAAAAAGTAATATAAGTGGACTGGCAAGGAACTGAGCGAAATGCTAAATTTTTGGTCAAGTTTTGTATTTGGTTTGGTTTTTTTAAAAACCATTCTAAGAAGCGCATAATTCGCTTTCCATATACGAGTAGCCTCAAAGATATTCCGTACTCCGAAATGCAATTCATCAAATTTGTTCTAAGGAAAGACACTTCTGAGTTTTATGAGTAGGGCTCCCATGTGGGATCCATACAAATTGTTTGTGCCTGTGTGTGTGGGGCTCTTCTTTTTTTGTTGTTGGACAATTTGAATAAATGCCAGTGCTGGTGACATTTTAGCAAGACATAAATCAACGACGAATAATGCGGGATGAAGTCGGCATATGGACGGACACCGCAGAAATTAACCCTCCAAAAATACACGCATTTACTTACGACTATACTCGTATACATACATACTCGTATGTATGTACGTGTGTTTGTATGTAAATAAATAAGGAAAGAAAGATGTGTGTCTGTGAGAGCTCAACAATTATCATTTAATTATGTCAACTGCAACTTAATTATGTGAGATTCTTTTAATTTGTGGCTGCTCGCACAGCCCCTTGAAAGCAAATTCCAGCTGATTTCGGTTAACTTAAAACTTCCGGACGATATTTAAATACAAAAGTAACTACAATGGCTGTACTGGTCAAGATAAATCCTTTTTTAAATTGCAAAGCCTTTTCTCGACGCAACCATTGTCGCTGTCGCTGTCGCTGCCCATTGACCCAAATCTCAGATGTTGCAGATCACCGCGAATTACTCGTAATGCAGATTTATGCGCATAGCTGTGAGGCCAGGCGGTCCAGGCGATGTCGCCACGACTGCTCTACATAGGCGTCGATTTGTCCACGACAGACTAAAGTATCGTGGCTGGTGAGCTAGTTTTGCGTAGAGATTTATTAATTTACGTACTGGGCACTGCGCATAAATCATAAATGATTTAAATTGTTTCAGCTCCCGCTTTAGCACTCGAACTTAAAGCTGGACAGCAGCTCTGGTTGTGCTGTCCCCACGCCTTCTTTCGCTTGAAAATTGAACGCTTGCACTGCGTTTCCGCCCACCAGCTGGTCAACTGCCGCTCGGGCGCAGTACGCGTAGCGTTAAATGTTCATTAAGTGGAAATATCTGCTATATTTTTGGGCCTGACTGCCTATACAGCGTGCGTGCTCGAGAATTTGAAAGCGGTCGTGCTGGACAGTGTTTCCTCTCGAATCGTGGACGCAACTATTATAAATGATCGAGCACTGCTTTCTGTTGAATGCGCCTGCATGAAGCTGCAATTGTGTTGGAAATCAGGGCATGGATTCATTCTTTGGACTAGGGGGGATGTGGTGTGTTGCAATGGGTCAACTAATATTTGACAACCCCCGAGAACTGTCACTGATTCCTCGATGGGCGGATCGCATCCATTGAACTGTGGTCGACAAAGTCTTCAAAAGCAATGTCCAATAAAAGGAAACATGTTTTTAAATTAAATAAGTTTTCATTTTACGAGTATTGTTGTTTAGTTTTCTAGATGTCAGATCCACATCAATTCGCTTATATCGAACCACAATTCATCATCGTCTGTCTTCAATAATTAATTAATTTAAAATAAAATTGTTCATACTTTTTCAGCTCAGTTAAATGTTCAAACAATAATATGGATTCAAGACATGGACTGCCTGTTAATGTCGTTATTACAAAAGCATTAAGGAAGCTTGCATGGTGGCATCAAATACCAAAATCCTAGCAATTCTTCAAATTTAACAGAGAAAACTGTGTTCACTCTTAAAAACTGTGAACGTTCTACAAGTAGAACAGAGTTAGTAGGGTTTCAGTTGGACATCTTTCTTAAACAAATTACATGATTTTTCGACATCCATCTAATCTCAACAGAGCCATATTTTGGAAAACTTGTAACTTGTAACATAACAATTTTGTGGTCTAAAATTACAGAAAAATTTATTTTCTTATTAGAAATG